ACAAGAACAGCTAATTTCATGCCACCATAACAGAAACCCTTGCCGCTAATGAAATAGTACTTGCGAGTCACATTAAGGGGAACGACGTCCCTTCCAGCTCCAGTTGTCCAATTGTGAAGAGGATGGTCAGAAATACAATTCTCATAATCTGTTTTGTTCACCTCCAGCACGTTCATTTGGTTCCTATCATACACAAAAACTGGAAATGAACAAGAAAAGTTACCAAACAGCAATTGATCGTTCCACAACAAAAATCTGGAATGAAATGTTTAAATGGCCTCGGGGACATGGCACTGATACCAATTTTCAGACTACAAGTATACAACGGGTCAACCGTTGAAAGCAACAGATGGAGAGGCAATTGTGTTGAAAACAATTAGCTAAATGACCATTATAAAAGAGAAAAATAAGAGCAGTTGATAGGTTTAATAGTCATACAAGGAACCTTGCACTTTGGACAAATCTCCTCGATCATGACAGCTAATCAAGTATTGAATTTTAATATGTTTTGTTGGCAATAGTTTGTATCATCGTTCACATTACAAGTAGTGTTTTTCCCAATTTGCATGTGTCCAACTGTCAAATAACCATTATTTTTTCCTGGTGTCTCTAACCCATAAGCCTCTCCCTACCAACCAACCCATTCTTTGGTGATTTATTTTTTGTTTTTGACACAGCTATGCAACCTGCTACTGATTTTAAATGTATTGTAGTGAGAATGCAGTTCACAAAATACAGATATCAATAAAGAAAACTAATCATTATATTATCACAAATGATTAATAATAGTATTATGGCCGCTACCATAGTATGACAATAAATAGTGGATCCACGTCAGTTGACTAGATAGTCTAAGTGCATGGTTTTTATTGTTATTTTTTTAAATTTTTTAATTATACTTGAGCATCGATGGTAAATCAATGGTATGTCATAATTGAAGTTGGCATTGTGCCTTGCAGAAATACTTCTAAGAGTGATAGGAGAGACTTCTAAATACACAAAGAATTTGAGTAACCCACAACTCCAGACCTTGAAACCGTAACTATCTCTCACCAAAACCTGGAGCAAAGCTTCTGTTGATTTTTGCGTTGTATAGTTTCAGGTGAAAGAACAAAGACGAGCAAAAGCTAAGACAGCAAAAGAATGTATACAAGATATGAAACCATGATCAGCAAATAGATTTTTTCCTCCAATGGAGTAAAATGAATGAAGGATTCATTCAGTAGTACCAAAAGCAACAGTGTCCTCTCATTGGTTGTATGGGCATTCTGTCCAAAAAAAAAAAGGGAATGCAAGCATGGCTTTGGGGGGTATTTGCTTGTTTAACCAGGAAATTATCTACCCCATCCAACTAGTTCCAAGTTTGAATTTTGGGCAACCCATTGTCATATCGCAATCATATGTAAAGAAATCCATTGGCTAATTTCATTTAGAATTCAAAATTAATGATTTCCATTACCAGCTGTTTTGAACTAACCAATATGAAAATAAATTATTTTTGCTCATTAATTATCACTAGCCTAAAACTTCACCCTTTACAATTGAAAAACCAAATGTGGATTTCAGTCACAAAAGCCAAAATTCACAACAATTTTTTATTTTTACCTCCTTTTTTTTATTTTTTATTTTTGGCATGTGTGGAATCACATGAGTCATCGAGTCAGACTCAGTGAGTCAATGGGAGCTTTAATTGAAAAAAAAAATCAAGAGACAAATCCAGAAGAAAGGACAGATCTAACAATGACCAGAAATAATCTTTTAAAGAAAAGGGTAAAAATGAGGTTAAAAAGGGTAATATGGAGACTTTTCAAGTAAGAGAAAGTCCGTGAGAAATCAACAAATGGATGATGAACAGTTACAGGCAGAAAAATCACGAGGAGAGCAGAGTTTGAGTTTAAAAAAAACAGATCTGAGGCAGAGATCAGAAGCGCAAGAGTGAAGTAAAAGAACTCTATTCAAGTAAATTTCACTTAATTTAATTAGTATAACGAAGAAATCAAACATAAACACATAGATATATGCTTACAGTAGCTATGAAGAAAAGCACATCAATGTCAGCAACGCAGAGAGAGAGAGAGAGAGAGAGAGAGATTGAACACAAACATGGAAGTAAAACTAGCAAAGAACAGATAATGAGTTGAAAGCAACAGATCTGAGGCTATACAGATGATGTATGCAGAGTAGGCGAGAGAGAGAGACAGACAGAGAGAGAGAGAGAGAGAGAGAGAGAGAGAGAGAGTTTACAGAGCCAGTCGCCATTGTAGAAATGTTTGCCTTGGGCCCAAATGGTGTAGTTGACATTATTGTTAGTCCATCCCATGTTCGATCCCACGATGTACCGAACGGACGAGACTGCCGGTATCATCACCAATACGGCGCATGCTAGCATTGCAAGTGCCGCCGGAGACGCCATGCCCTTCCTCTGCTTCTCCATCTCCCTCCAGAATGCTACTCGTCACTCGCCAATATATCTCGCTCTCTCTCAATGTATATGGATTTCTGTAATTGAAGTATTTATAAACGGTTGTGGTTGCATTCAGTTTTTTTTTTTTTTCTTTCTTTCTTTCTCAGGAATTTGGGGGTTGTTTGGGAAAAAAAAATGTGGCTTAAATTAATTAAAAAAAAAATTGATTTTTTTTTTTGGAAAATTGATTTTTTTTCCCCTCATTTCTTTGTTTTTAATATTTCTTTTTATATTTTATGCAATTTTATTATTTTTTAGATATACCTAATCTAAATGTACTTAAAAAAATACAACATTTGTGAAAAAAAATTTAAAAATATAATATTTAAAAAAAATCATCAAATATAAAAATATACAAAAAAAATTTGAAAAATTAGTACATTTTTGTATTTTATTGTTTTCAATGAACTTTTGAAAAAATTGTGTAAAAATTTTATACTTTTAAATATATCAAAATTAAGTGAATCTAAAAAGTGTTTAAAAAATTGATAAAAATATTTTAAAAAATTACTAAAGATATAAAAATATGAATTAAAAATTAAAAAAATTATTTTAAAAATTTCAAACCAAACAGAGTGATTATTTTCAATATTATATTTTTTTTATTAGACCAATCTCAAACAACCTGTTAAATATTCAAATCAAAGTATGCAATGAATAAGTTTTGATTTATTTACAATAATAAAACCGAAATCATGTGAACTCAAAATTATATTCTAAGTTTTTATCAAGAGAGTGTTTGTGTTGAAAATTAAATTAATGTAATGTGAGGGGACTTTATTTATTTTTGAACTAGAAAAAAAAGTGCTCATTTAAGCATCAGTATGTAGGGTAGACTTATCCTAATTTAAAGGAAATAATTTATCACCAGAGTAAGAGAAAAATACACAAATTTTCAACACAAAAAATAAATGATCAGAATATAACACAATCAACTTTACTATTTGAAAAATAAATCGCTAATTACACTCTAGGAGTCTAGTCCACAACACCACCACCACCCCACCCTCGGTGGAAATGTAATGTGAGGTTCATGTTATCAATATGAGTCCTCAGTTAATATTTTTAATGTAATAATATTATTCATAATAAAATTTATAATTTTAAAATAATTAAATTGTGTGTTAAATTCGTGAATTAATTCAATATTTTTTTACAAAAATGTTTCAGACCCCTCCAAATAGCGACCCCCACGACCTTCTTGACCTGTGATTGGCCAGATTTATTTATTTATTTATTTATTATTTTTATTTTTTCCACCAATTACCAACCCTTACGTGTAGGGTGATGGGAGTGGGTGATTGAGAGGTCTCCATCAAAGTTGATTTTTTTATTAAAAAGTGACCTGACCGTTAGTATTATTTTCCAGCTCAGTTTTTGTCAGCAACAACATGCGCTTTATTAAGAGTCCGGATCCTCTGCCGTGGTCTCCTGCGGTGGTTCCTGTGGGCAAATTTTTTTAAAAAAAAACAAAAACAGAACACACCAACACAGAGAACCAAACCAAGGAAGAGAGATGGGGAAGAAGATACAAGCACAGAAGAAGAGAAAGAGGAAAGAAGAATGGCATCCCACCAAATTTAACTTCTGCCCACCCTTCCCAACATCTCCTTCTCTCCATCTCCTTTCTCTCTCTGGGTTTTATAATTTACCCCATTTTCTTATCTGGGTTTTCCTCAAATCCCTCATAAACCCATTTGATATATATATATATATATATATATATAACAATTATTTAAACAAAAGTTGGAGATTTTCTTCATAAATCCATCTTTCTACATTTTAGATCTAGGTTGAAATTGGGGGCAAAAAATAAAGAAAGATTAATAAAAAATACAAAGAAACACAAAGTGGGTGTTTTGGTAACACCATTTCAAGAAACTTAGATCGTCAACAACTAGAAGAAAAAAAAGATAGAGATTTCGATCTGCTGGGCCAGTCTTTGAAAGAGAGAAAGTTTTAAGAGAGAGAAAAGAATGGGTTTTTCTTTTTTTAAGAGAGAAAATGAGAGATCCTAGACAAGAAATTTTCACACCAAAAAAAAAACAAACGATCTTCTTTTCTCTTTCTCCTCATCTGTGCTTGTATCTTCTTCTCCCATCTTTTTTCCTTGGTTTGGTTCTCTGTGTTGGTGTGTTCTGTTTTGCTTTTTTTTAAAAAAAAATTTGCCCCAAAACGACGTCGTTTTGGGGCACTGCAGGGACCACGGCAGAAGATTCGGACTCCTTTATATAATTGTTTTGAAAGATTTTTTTTAATTTTTATTTTGAGGACAAGTGTAATAAAAAATGGGCCAAAAATTTATAAAAGAGATTTTTTTTTTTTTTTGTGGTCACCTATTTATTTTAAAGATTTTTGGTCTTCATTTTTTTTTTAATTTATCATTGTCACTAAAAATATAATGGCAATGGATTCTATTTTATTTGTTAACAATAAATTTATAAATCTCTTCTCTTACAAGGTGAAGACACTTTCAATTTTTCTTGATATTAAAAATCTTTTATAAAATATTATGTTTTAAAAACTAAAAAAATATATAGTTATAAATTTAATAAATTATTTTTTATACTTATGCCACTGTTCTCCTATTATTTTTATAATTTCATTTTAAATATTAAAATTTTATTATTATACGTTATAAGATCTCTTAATTTGTGAAAACATCACCAAAGTAATAAATAATCCGCCTTCTTGCCATTCAGTTGATTTTTTATTTTTTGTGTGTGAGTATAATTTAATATATATGTATTGGTTAACATATTTATTCTTTTTATTAAATTTTTTTAATTTGGCTGTTTTGAAACAATTTTCGAATTTTTTTTAAAAAAAAAAACTTAGAATGAACAAAGAAGGTAGAAGGCGTGCATAATCATGTAACCTTTTCATGTGTTGGAAATGATTATATTTGCAGTGTAGTAACATCATACACATAAAGGTTGTTTTGTAAATTTGGTTAAAAATTAATTTTTTAATTTTTTTTTAAATATATAAAAATTAGAGAGATAATGTGATTTAAAATAAGTTAAAAATTAAAAGATAACTTTTAATCATCTTCTTAAAATAACCCAAATTTAACACATTGTTGAAAAATAATGGCTCTGTTTGGTAAGTCTCTCAAATTATAGTTTCACCTATTGATTTGAGGGTGGTGTTTGTTTTGAGCTTTTAAATCATAATTCTACACATATTTTTCAAAACTCAATTCAAAACATAATCATTACTTTTCAAAACTCATAACCAAACACATAATTCAAAACTCAATTCAATTCAAATCAATATTTTAATTTTTTAAATATTTTAATGTTGTTAAGATTTTAAATATTTTAATATTAAATATGTTACAATTTTTTTAATTTTTTAATTTTTTGAATATTTTAAAATATTTTAATATTTAAATATTACGATTTTAATTTTTTAAATATTTTATAAAAATAAATTCAAACTCCATTTTTTTTTGTTATGTATTTGGTTACGATTTGAGTGTAGAGTTGTGAAAGTAGTATAAAGTTTCGACTTATGTGTTTAGTTATGAATTTTAAAAATAATTTCTTAATTGAGTTATGTTTTATGTGTTTGGTTACGATTGGAGTGTAGAGTTGTTTTTAAATTTAAAATTTTAAAATTTTAAATTATTTATTTTAATTTTTTACTTATTAAATTTTTTAGATTATTTAAATTATTTAAATATTTATGATTTAAATTTTTTGAACATTTATTTTGAAAAAAGAATATTTCCTTTGTAGTATTTTCAATTAAAAAATTGATTAATGTTATTTTCGGTTAATAATAAAAAATTTTAATTGAATTTTAAAAAGAGTTTGGTTATGAGTGTTGATCAGAATTTTTAATAGTGTGAAAGTAGTGTGTTTTGTTATGAATTATAACAATTTGAATTAAGTTTTGAAAGCTCTTTCCAAAACTTATAACCAAACAAATCTTTTTATTTCACATGTCACATTAAACATTAAAAACTAATATTTCCTTTGTAGTATTTTCAATTAAAAAATTGATTAATGTTATTTTCGGTTAATAATAAAAAATTTTAATTGAATTTTAAAAAGAGTTTGGTTATGAGTGTTGATCAGAATTTTTAATAGTGTGATAGTGTGTTTTGTTATGAATTATAACAATTTGAATTAAGTTTTGAAAGATCTTTCCAAAACTCATAACCAAACAAATTTTCTTACCTCACATGTCAAATCAAACTTTCAAAACTCAATTCCACACTCAATTCAAAACTCAATTCAACACTCTATTAAAAAATCATAACCAAACAAATTTTCTATACTCAAATCATAATTTCAAAACACACTAACTCAAAATACAACTTCATATTCTCAAATCATAATTAGAAAGTCTTATCAAACGGAGCCAATGGTTTTCGGTAACTTTAATTTGAAATTAAAGTGGGACCCAACCGCTGATCGAGGTGAGTTTGAGTAGTTTTGTATTCTCTCAAGTGAGAAAGTGAGAAGATTACAATATAAAAGTAATAAGCCGAAACTATTGAGTTGTGTATGAAAATTGTCTCATAAAGTGAACATCAATAAAATTAGGCTTAGATTTAGACTTAAGCTTCATTTGGGAGCAGGCTTTTTTAGTAACTTTTAAATTTTTTCGCTAAAATATGATGTAAAAAAACTAATATGTTTGGGATGATTTTTTGATTTTTAACGAAAATATGTGCAAAAAAAATAGAGAGAAAAAATAATCTTTGACTTTTTGTTATAGGTTGTTAGTTTTTTGATTTTTTTAGTGACTTTTTTGCTTTTGGACTAAAAAATAATGTTGGCAAACAAGGCTTTAGTTTTAGTTTGGATTGAGCCTTGACTTGTGCTTGTGCTTGTGCTTGTGCATGTGTTGGGTTTGACCTTGGACTTAGATTTGACTTAATCTTAAGTTTGAACTAAGCTATGTTGGGGGTGTTTGGTGAAGCTTTTTTAAGCCAACTTATGGCTTCTGGCTTTTAAAAAGTTATTTTGGACTGTTTGGTTAAACTTATTTCAAACAGCTTCTGATTCTAACAACTTATTTTA